GCAGTTTTGAGATATCACTCCCATATATTTTCAGGCTTTGTAGCTGGGACAGATTTCCGAAGCTCTCAGGCAGTTTTGAGATATCACTCCCATCTATTTCCAGGCTTTGTAGCTGGGACAGATTTCCGAAGCTCTCAGGCAGTTTTGAGATATCACTCCCATCTATTTCCAGGCTTTGTAGCTGGGACAGATTTCCGAAGCTCTCAGGCAGTTCTGAGATTGGACTCCTATCTATTACCAGGCTTTGTAGCTGGGACAGATTTCCGAAGCTCTCAGGCAGTTTTGAGATATCACTCCCACTTAAATCCAGGCTTTGTAGCTGGGAAAGATTTCCGAACCTGTCCGGCAATGCTTCCAACCTCCAACACAAACGAAGTTCCAAAGATCGCAGTTGTGAGAGCCCTCCAAAAGCTTCGGGGAGTGAACAAAGTCTCTCGCACGAAGTGAATGTAAGATGACAAAGCCTGGGAAGTTGTCCGAATGCTTCGGGAAGACATTGGAAGAGGCAGCCTGCGAATTTCATAACTTCAAGGTTTTGAAAGTCACTGACGGTTGTTGGCAAACATGTGAGCGGTGCCGTCAAGTCCAGAACAGCCAAACTTCTCGCGAGCCCTTGGTCTACCAGGTTATGAAGATTGTTCACTTCTCCACGGAGTCGAAGAAGGGTCAGATTCTTCGGAAGCTTGCCACCTACTTCATTCAACATCAACTCCTCGGAATCCAAATATTTCAGCTTCTTCATCTGGCCAATATCTCTCAAGTCGAGGAGCATCGAGTGTTCAAGTCGTAGCGCTATGACCTCCTGCACCAAAACACCCAGGGCCTAGTTCACATTCCAGGCCACAAATATAGTCCATGATCTAAACTTGACCTACCAGACTTGTAGCATTTCATTTGATCAGGGCCATCGAGTCTTCAGGTTCAAAGTCAATGACATCCTTAACAGTAAAGTCCAAATTGAGTGAGGAGGAGCATCCGTTAGAGATCACAGGCCAGGTATTTGACAACAAGACGCTTCTCGTTTCGAAGTCCAGATAGGGTCAGGATGAGCAAACTGAGTAACGCGGTGTAGAGACTATATAACGTGATGAATATCCCGACAGCAAGATAAAGAGAGAAAGTGCGCTATCAATGACATAATGAAAGGATAGTTGTTTGATACTACTAAAGGGAGTTTCTAGGAGAAGCAAAACCAGTGCGTTGATTGCTTTGAATTACGTTTAAGAAGGAAAGGCTGCGACTTTATCAAATTATATTGCTGATTTCTCACAGAAGCATGCTGACTGACAGTGAAGGACTTCGATAGACATTTATGTAGGAAAGGCAGAGGATCTACTCAGACAATTTCTTGGGTTCAAGAAAGCAGTACGTTGACCAACAGGAAGGGCAGTGAAGCTTTGGAACGGTCGTGTACAAGAGTCAATAAAAAAGTTCAGCGAAAAACACCCGACCAAACAATGACGTGCCTCAGTTAACGTGAATTTCAATGATCTACAACAACAACCGATATCCGACATGGGAGTACTATAGAGAGGAGACGGGACCTTGAAAGTCAAAGTAACATAATCTCGTACCTCAATAGGTGTTCCCATACCAGTGCTTGATGAGCCTGGATCATTGGAATAGAACTGTCCTTCTGTAATCCTCTCATTGTAGTTTGAGGAATTAAACCTCGAAGGGACATTTTTGGGAGTCCAAGTCCTACATCTGCCACCTGTTCCCCATCCTGAAGCCAATCTTATTCCCAGAGACCTTAATTGCTCATGCATTTGTATATTTTCCTCTTCTATTACATCGTAGACAAGAGACAAGTCTACCAGAGTCTGCCATTGGATATCTTCGTAGCCATAAAGCACGCGCCAGCAAGCCTTAGCTTCTCGCAGGTTCCAGGTGGAATTGCTGAAGAATGACGCAGCATCAAGGAATATTTCCTTCTCCTGACTACCCAAACGGTCGTAGGACACTTTCAATTGCGCCCACAACTTATCATCCAAACGCCCTGCGTCTTTTGCTTCATCCAGAGCTTGGAAACATTGCATCCATATGCTTTCACTGACTTTCGTCTTCAGATACTTGCCTATCACCTCTAGAGTTAATGGTAGTCCATCACATTTATTGACGATCTTGGGTACCCATTTCTCCAGTGATGGACTTGGTTTGGTCTGATACGGAAATGCGTAGCTCATAAATAACTCTGTGGAGCTCTCGTCATTCAAGAGTTTCACGTCGAACACGTATGAATCCAAACTATCTAAACTGTTCCAAATGTCTTTATCTTTAGAGGTAACAATGTAACGACTGTTTGCGCAATCGTTCTTCGAAGCTATGTCCTCGAGAAGTGCAACATGACTACCATTGTCAATGTCATCCAGAACAAGGAGAAGTGTTTGCTGTCTCAAATCAGTCGGTTTCCATTTTTCCACTCCTTGTGTAAGCTGTTTGCCAAGATGATGCATCGAGGAATACACTTTGTCTTCTATCTCCTTGGTATTTTTCATGTCCGTACATCTCGAAACGAAACAAGTGTATTCGTATTCAGCACACAACTCATTGAACAACAGCTTTGCGAGAGTTGTTTTCCCTACTCCTCCCATGCCGCAAAGAGCAACTGCTGCTGGACCTGTGCGTAAAATTTTTTGAACCTCTACTAGTAAGTGAGAATGTAGGCTCATTGCAATCTTCGGCACCGTCTGGAGATTATCAGGAATCCTCCTGTTCACCTGTATCCAATCACAGTAGCCAAACGCAGTTCAGATCTGTAGGTTAGGAAGAATCTCACTCAACTAGAATGACCTCTTGCTTGAAAGCCACAATTTGAAATCTTGTTGACAGGGATCTAGTTATCGATGGATGCCCACAATAAACTCGTGTGGTTTCTTGAACCTACTTTGGCTCTCATACATCTGAAAGAGGGTCTCATGGGCTAATCTTTGCTTTTATTGACGAACAATTGCAATTGCCAAGACAGAAGACATGTTCGTGTGCGCAACCTTATTGCTTTGTAACCTTTGCAGGAACGATGTCAACCGTACGTAAGTATTTGAAGTCTTGCTCTCGGGCTGGCAGAGAGAGATATGATCCTCATGCTCCACAGTGAAGTCGCCGTACCGAGCTGAAGCCTCAACTACAATCATCTCACATTCTGAGACTCTGCAACAGCAGAGTCTCAGAATTCTGAGAATGCAGTTAGCAACAGCGTTCTGAGACTTTGCATCCTAAACTTCGGAACAGGTTGGAACAAACCACTGGTCAGACTAGTAATCTGAAAATATTGTATCGTGGATGGATTTCCAAAAGTGAAACTGGGATTCGGCAAACTTCAGGAAACCTATCAAGATCTATTGTGAGTGATATCCGAACAATTTCATAAAAGTACTGGGTTACAAACTATGATATTTTGATGCAGAATTAATGCTGCTGTTTCAGCAGTTTAGAATCAAGAGGATAAAAGTAAAGAACAAACATGTCAGTCCCACACTCACTAGCATGATCGTAGGTCTCGATTCTCCAACTCCAGCAATGCTCCACTCGTAGGACAGACGTAAAGCATCAAAATTTTCATGAAGGCGACCTGATTCTGCGCAAAGCAGGTTGACATAGTCGAGTAGAGGGCTAGCCTCCTTTAGTTTTGTTCCATTTGGAGTGAAGAATGATGAAATTCCATGGTGCGGCGTTCCATAGAAGAAAATTCCTGTGACGGAGTTGAGAAATCGAGCTATTTGTTTGTTGCTTTTGCTGGAGTGTGCGTGGAAGCACAATTGTTTGATCACAAGGCCTCCGTAACTATGACCGACGAGTATAACTGAACGCCAAGGATGCTGCCCCACCTTCGCATTTATAAGATTATGCATCAAACTTTCGGCTGTGAGGTAGAGGTCTAATCTTCCATGCTCTGCTGATGTCCTGATAGAAGCATCGTACTGGACAGAGAGAATCCGAGCTCCCGGAAACTCTTGCGGGATCCAGGCCTGCGGCCATACTTCCTTGTGAGAACCGCTTGATATCCATGTTGATAGGTGAGGTACAGAGGTGTGTGACGATTGTAGGCCGTGAAAGAATACAACGTCCAGCACTGATTCAACTCCTGGGTTATGAAGTTCGTACACGGAGTCGTTTAACTGATACATCAGATGCAGATCAGATCAGCAATCAAACAACCTGGACCGATCTCACCTAATGCAGCTCTGAGATTCTTAGATTTCAAGACAAAATTGGATATAGCGCAAACACGTTCCAGAACTGCTAAACCCTAAACTGCTATACTGTACTTTGCATAGATTATTGCGATTTCCTTACCCTCGACGTGGAAGTGGCCGAACACGCAGGGGGCAGAGACATTGTATTTAACTTGCGTAATCGACGCCCGCCCGCTCTAGAAGCACGATAGAGAGCATGCGATATATTTGATTCTCCTCCTCGTCAGTAGAGAAACGCTAATACAAGTGCACGAAAATCACATTCATCAGACGGAGCTTTGTGATGTCGCTCAATTGAAATCCTCAATCCCTCCAGACCATCCCATATGTGCAAGCAGAACTTGCCTTCTCTGCTAGATTCCTTCTTGTGTGGGTGAGTTTCTGAGTTTCCTCGGGAAGCCTTTTGGGCCAATGGTACGCGGTCCAGCTCACATAGACCAGTGAGCTTCAAAACCGTGCGTGGAATCTGAGAATGACTTTTGAGTCATTCTCAGAAGGTTCTCGTTTGACTTTCCTATATTCAATAATTATGTACAAGAGTCAAACGTTTTAGCCTAGGGAAGCACACAGTCAACGATCTTTAAAGTGGACTTGAAGATTGCCTTATCTTGCTTTCTCCGAAGTTCTCCAGCCGAGTGAATTCTGTGTAAAGAAGAAAGTGAAGCGGCAGCAAAGCACGCGGATTATGGTGCGGAAAGGTCAAAAGGTGAAAACTGCAATTGCAGGAACAGCCGACAGGCTCGTGCACAGGAACAGGTCGGCTGCCTGCTAAATCCTCAAGCACTGTACCGATAATAGTCCGAGGCAATTTGACTCGATCGTATCGTTTCGTTCTTGTCAAACCAAATCCTTGTGTAACTACACAAGGATTTGAATTCCTTCAACGAATGACCTTGAATTCATTCTCCATTTACTGACAGATATCTGTGTACTCATGTGCACATGACAATTCCATGTCGGCAACTGTTGTCTGGGGGGATGAAGGACTTGCTCTGGTGTATGAGTCATGGTACAAAACACGACGCACTCGAACTTGGATGATTGCACCTGGGAATCTTGAAGCAGAAGGGCGTAAGCTTTTTGGTCGCTCATCAGAAGATGTCTACGCAGATCCTGGTTCACCCATGCTTCGCAGAACTTCTCTTGGAACGTACGTTCTTGCAGGTGTCAAAGACGCTGATGGCAAGAAGAGGCTGCTCCTGAATGGAAGTGGCGCGACCCCACAAGGCAATATCCCTTTCTTGGATCTGCTGGAAATGTAAGAATAATATAAAATTTCATCATTGCTTAGGCCTTTGTCGCCTTCATGCTCATTCATGTAACAAGCCTGCCAGGAGAATTGTGAGTTCCTCCACCAGGGCTTTCTGATCTTTGCAGTCCAGTTATAACGGAGCCTCCGTTACGAACAGGGGACTTACCTTCGATACTTTTCTCAATTGTTTCAGTTGGTGCCTACTATCCTTACTATGTACGCTTTCCCCTCTGGTTCTAGTGTGGGCATCCAAGGCTTGACTGCAAGAAAGTGATAATTAAAACTCAGCGGTCCTATGATTTCTAAGTTCTCGTTGGTTTGGCAGTGAGTCAGGTGAAAAACAGCGAATCTGGGAAAGCAGCAAGGAGACTTATTTCGAGACAGTCGTAGCTTTGATGTCAGATCAGTTGGATGGAGATCTGGACCTGAACAAGTTACGTATTTTGGTCTCAAAGGAATCTCAAACCGAACCACCTCAGTATTATCTGCGATCCTGGCCTGAGCAAACTGTCTGTCAAATTACAGACTTCTCTCATCCGTATCCTCAAATAGCTAATCTGAAGAAGGAGATTACACGATACGAACGGAGCGATGGTGTGCAACTTACAGCAAATTTGTATTTACCTCCAGCGTATGACCCGGCTACTGATGGGCCACTGCCACTGCTAATGTGGGCATACCCAAGGGAATTCAAGAGCAAAGATAACGCTGGCCAGATGAGAGGATCACCTTATAGTTTTGCAAGCATTGGATCTACTTCAGCATTGTTGTGGTTGGCTAGAAGGTAAGCAAGCCTAAGTGGTGAAGGCAGCAACAGAGGAAACTTTCTATGCTGTGGATTCCTTGGTTTTGTATTCTCATGTGCTTGAAATAATGTTTTCTGTTTGTTTTGTTGTTTCGGGTAGATTTTCTATTCTGGATGGTCCGACCATGCCCATCATTGGCGAAGGAGACGAGGAGGCCAATGACAGGTGAAATTCATCTTGTTTAGAGAATGGATGGCATAGTTTTACACGATTACCTGATTTTCAATAAGTACCGTAATTGGTTCTCGTGGAAACCATGTTTTCAAATCAACCATAGTGTATATTTAACTATCACAAGTCATAGTTCGTACATGTTCAGTAAGCTAGATGGTGTTAAGGTAATTCATATTCTGCTCAGGTTATGCCACTCTTGATTCTGCAATGAACTGCAGCATACCCAGAGATGTATGTCATTCTCTTGCTGAAGGAATAATCTCAAGAATGATTTGGATATTGTGAAGTAAATATGGAGCCTTTGTGCTTGACTGCAGGTACGTGGTCTATCGTAATTTACTCGCAATTGTTCGCTTAGTGACGCTGCATATCATTTACCTTCAGCCGGAGCCCCGATGTCACAAGGTATTTCAGTCCTCCAACCATGAAAGGAAGACAAATCGGCACTCGGATCTCGCTAATATCGGTTAGACGGCCACAGTGGAGGTGGTTCCTTCATCTGAGTCAAAATTGATTGTGCTGATCTCAGAGTACTTGCGAAACCGACGCGATGACATCAGAGACGGAAGTAACTACTTGCGTGCGTGCGCGCGCTATCATTCAAAAAGATTCACTTCGGCCCCGAGCCTGGTATGGTGGTATAGGATAACGGGCTGAGTGTATATGAGGAAGGGGCTGTCCAGAGCAAGAACGCAAGAGCTTGTAAAGCAGACGCACCGAGTGAAGAGAAGAATGCACAGATTTTCCAATGCAAGCATTGGAAAATCTGCTGCAGATCAGAGTGCAGGACTCGATGCTGGAGAGGTAGGCAGGCAGGCAGACGTGCGCAGCATTTTTATTCTCACGTAATAGAAATTCCATGGCGGATTGTAGCCACCTCGTGCATGTAGGGCGTGGACCCTGAGCCTGAGCCTGAGCCGCGGCATTCTTCATGTCGCTTTCGATGGACTGGCTGATTTGTTGGGCCCTCTGGTCATGAACAAACTGTAAGTTCACTCGTTGGACCCGAATCAGGGACAGCGATGATGAATAAATGCCGAGACGAGACGGACTCGGGAGAGAACTGGGGGAAGTGCTTGAAGTGGGAGTATTTCAGTATGATCTTGAGTGCTTGAAGATCTACATCTTCAAGTTTCGACTACTTTAGTGTAGATTGATTCCGAGTTTCCAAATCTTCGCGTGCTCGGAGTTCGAGGTGAGAGAGCGTGTTTCTTCAACTTTTTCTACATGCTTTTTGGTTGCTTCTGCCTCCAGCAGTTTTTGAACGTGAATTCACCTCGAGTTATTGTTGCAATACACATTGAGAGGCCTGCGAATTGCTGTTTTGTTCTTGTCCTCTTTATACTTTCTTCTGATATTCGGAACCACCTTATCGTACTCAACAAGTAACTCCTTTACTTTACTCAGCTGAGGAATTCATTGGTCCATTTAGCCTTCCCATGGTGCATCGTGAAGGGTCCCTCTAGTAAGTGAAGGTCACTTTATGGACCCTTCACTTAATGGAAAAAGACGATTGTGGTGCATTCCAGAAGACGGAGAAACGTCATTGAAAACTAAAAATAAAAATACATCACGGGCTTCTGAACCTTCAGCAGAAAAGTTTTATCGTTTATTAGACCAACATCAGTACGAGAATAACATCTTTGGAGTACGTGGAGTATCACTCACGCACGACAGAATTTCCAAGCAAATGTTCTGACAAGCATTTTTTAATTTTTTTTGCAGTTCATGGTAATTCCATAGACGCGACCTTGAACTCTTCAGAACGCCTTCGGGATGCCTTAGACAAGTCATTAGCTTCTGTGGTGGTATGTACCTTCTGGTGTGCATCAGAGCTTACCACCTAAAAGATTATTTGCTTGTCATGAATGAAGCTTTTGCTTTTTCCAAATTTCCGACCTTGAACTCTTCAGAACGCCTTCGGGATGCCTTAGACAAGTCATTAGCTTCTGTGGTGGTATGTACCTTCTGGTGTGCGTCAGAGCTTACCACCTAAAAGATTTTTTGCTAGTCATGAATGAAGCTTTTGCTTTTTCCAAATTTCCGACCTTGAACTCTTCAGATTGCCCAGGTAACCTCTGCCGATTTGGCAGGTTTTATGGGCAGGCTACCCGTGGACGTCCTGGGAGGTAGAGAACGATTGCTTGGATGATGGTGATGAGTAGCACGGGAGGCTGGTACATTTTTCCTAATTCTCGGTATGTTCTTGGTATTCTCCAGTTCCTGAATTTTTTGTAGAATCTCCCACGACACGGTGGATCCTACATTCGGTGGCTCAACATCCCTTCGGTTCCTGATGTCCATCTCGATCTCATTTCTGAAGTTTTGAAGCTGCCTTGCATGTCGAGGACTTATAAGATTATTCTCCCGCAAATCGAAGAAGACCATCTTGTGGTTGTTGATGTCCGCCTCAACCTCCTGTCTAGCAGAACGAGTACCAGATTCCGAGATTTTCCTCTTCTTGAGGGCATTGATCGTACGGCAACCCGTCTTAGACAGGTCATCGTAGATCATCTTTGCAAGCTCCCGCCTCATCACGGTACTATATTCAGCTTCTGGATCCTTCCTGTAAGCACATCGTCTGTTATTTCTACGTATCCTGCCAGGTTTGAGGTCGAACCATGAAAAAGTTTAGTCATAGTTGTAAACTTATTCATAACTAAAGTTATGAACAAGTTTTGAGCATTGAATGGAATTGACTGAGACGATAGCAACCGTAAGGATTTCGTAGACATAACAGCCGGTTGAGTTTATGTCCACCAGGTTACATTTCCTAAACAAGATGAATACAGTCCCCGAAACCAAACTGAACTTGTTCATAACTACATTCCATCCATCCTCAAACATTCAACTTTCGCTGACTTTCCTGTGAGTGCAGTTGACACTCACCTGGCCTTACAACTCCCCCATTTTATCTACAGGCCGCTGATTGATTGCTGGCCTATTGCCAAAACATCTGTCAGTCGATAAAAGATGTATCAAACACCAAAGGTATCTCGTTGGTGCTGAGGTAGGACTCGGAAGGTCATCGATGTCATCAAGCTTTCTTTATCATTTATTTGACTTACCTCACAGGCCAACCTCCGGACCACACAATGATTTACATCCGGCCTCCGCCGCCTTGAGGTCGCTGGAATAGCCCGTCGTCCCCACGAGACCATGTGGCTCATGTCAACCTTTTTCTACAGTGCTCGCAGAACCGACATGTTTTTAAACTAAGAAGACAAACCTGACAGTGAGAGAAACCCCCAAACCTTAGCCACAAGTTCATGTGTGCCTGTCCGAGCTTTCTGAAAGCGTCTTGGAGCGATTTCTCCTGCCTGTCCCTTCAACCAGGCTGGACTAGCTCATACCGACATCAGTTGAGCCTCCCTGGCAAAATTCACAGCCTTGGCGTATCAGGATGATTCAGTCGCATGTCACCATCGTCAAATCTATTTTCAGCTATTTCTGTAAGTCAGATTTCTTGGAACTTGAGTTGTCCATGTTTGCTAGGTTCCATCCAAATGGTGAACCACAAGAGCTCAATGAAATCTGAAATATGTTCTATGGCTGGATCTCATTGCTGGCAGCAGTCTTGGTGTTCTCTCTCTCTCACTCACTCACTCTCTCTGACCTGAACGTAGAGTTGTTCGAGGTACACAACCTTTTTCCGGTCTGAGCACACGGTGAACAGAGTCTGGCCAGTGGATAAAGAACAAATCGAGGCCATCGACCGTCATCCCGACACTAGTTGCCATAAGTTGACCCTCAGCTACAAACCTATTTCCAACACCAACCCTGAGTGGAAGGCCAGTACATTGCGTCTGTCGAAAGCGTTTAGCTTTTTGCTGCCTGACAAGCTCGTCCTTGAATTCGCTGCATACTTCAAAATATTGCTTGCGTATCCCTGGACCCACATCACGACCTGAATCAGCCCGTGAGGCCAGCTGGGTTATGGTCAATCTGCTTTCTTACCTGTCCGATGGTCCCAGCCGACGACGTTCTGATTCATGATATTCTCAGAAAATTTGAACTGCGTACTTCGTCAGCCGTACCGCAACTCAATTCAACAGGTACTGGCACAGCCAGCGTTCTGTGCAGATGCTACATGTAGCACGTTACCTTTTCTCCTACGGCTACCGTCGGCAAATTTGAGTATGGTACTACGACATAGAGGCTGACGGTCAAAGACAGGTATGACCTCGTTCGGAATGGAAAGCAGATGTTTATTGTCATTTTCATTGCAAATTGGTTCGCTTATATTTATGCAGATTCACCCATACACTCCAATCAATAAGGTTTAGGTCGAGCATGACCGAATGAATTTCTTGAAGTTGGCACTTTAAATCAGACAAGAAACTCGATGAAGGAATATAACAAACCAAGATCGACGAATTTTTGATGTTCCTAGGGCAAAGCTTACCTTCGTTATGTTCACAGAAAATGCGCTTTTGATAAACGGGGCTTGATGCAGCTTGCACTTTTGGCAGAAGTTGTGATTTCGAGGTAGGTTTGTTCTGAAGATGGTATAGATTGTATTGTGAAGTTAAAGCTGAACGCCCAAACTCGTCGTGTAAATAAGTCATTCTCGACCAAGGGTTGTAGCTAAAGGGCGCGCAAATGGAATTCAAAACCTCGTGACTTGCTTAAGCACCCACAGAGATTGGTGGTACATACACCCTCCCTGCACAGTAGCGGAAACCTCAATCTGAATAGAGTGCAATCCTCCACTGTACCTCTGTCGCAACCACCCAACCTCTGTGCAAAGCCGTGTGATGGTCGAGTTCCAAAAGGCACGTATACAGCAAAAGTACAGCCATGTCTCAGAGCAGTTCTACGAAAAGCCCGACTAGGGCTCTCTCATGATCACGATCATGCTCTTTCGCGCACCTACCCTAGAACGGGAAGAAAAGGTCAAATGAGGAGGGGCAGGGCGAGATGACCTCCATGTCGAAAATTCTCAAGACATTCTCTTAAGAAGCCCTAGCACAATGAGGGACAGTTTCTCAGTGCAATCCTACGAAAGAAGCATCCCGATCCAACTCAAAGAGTCAGAAGAACCTTTGGGATGCGATGCAGGCTCCCATTAAATCCTTACTCGCTCAAGATGAGTCAAGAGCACGATCAGTGCGTCGGTCGACGACTCCTCCTCCTCATCATCATCGTCGACGTAGTAATTGTTCAAAAACTGCGTCCCGCAGGTTGCCGCCATATCTGTCGACGCACTGAATCAGTGAGTCCTCGGCCCCAATTTCTCCGTGCATCATTTGCAGACAGAGTCAAGGGCATGCAATTGCAGTCAGCAGCATTATAAGCACAGGATTCGACCAATCAGCAGAGCCCGACCGGATCCCGAGGGCGGAAAGAAATCCTTGTCGTTGCCAGCCAAACGCAACATCGAAACGACAGCGCAATCAGAAATCCGGATCCTATCGACTGTTACAAGGCAGTGTTACAATCTCGTACAAGGCTCCCGCCTTCGTTCCTCTCTGTCCAATCCTCTCAACATCTGCTCGGTACAGTACAAGAACGGCACAAGAACGTCTGTCTACGTTCTACAATGGAGAAGTACGAGGTACAAGAACATTTGTCGGTAAATGCTCTGACCAAGTAGATTCCTTGTGGTAGTCTCTTTGTCTGAACTGACATTTTCCGCTGCACGATTATACGATACTTTTAAGTTAGGTTAGACATGTTCAGCGCTAACAGGATCATTAACAAAATAACTGGGAATATATTTTATCCTTGAATAAGGTTGATTCAATGGTTATCTTCTGATCAATAATTATTTAAGTATTCTTGGTGATGAATGTCAAGATATCATTTATTGACATATTAAATTTTTTATATCATCGATGGATTTTTATCAAGTCATGTACATGAGATTGATTCTCTGCACATATGTAAATACCCATTCAAATTACTTGTTACATAATTATTCTTGATTACATATTTAGTTTCACAATTAGTACAAAAGACAATGTAGTCAAATTTTGAAAAAACCAACAACTTGATTCACACATAGTGACATTATCAATGTGATGTGATACTTTTTTGATTCAGATTTGGAAAGAAGAAATGGAATTGATTATTAGAAATATTGTACAAAGATTTTCCCTTATGCATAATAACAGTATATTAAATAAATCATATTGGATTTTTTAAAGCAAAATTAAACATAATTTTTTATGTTTATACACAGAATTACTTCCAATAATGTCTTCAATGTTGTTTGAATAACAATGATTGAACTCTTCTAGGTTGCAATATTTATAGATGAAAATTTTAAAGATAAAATTGTGATTAATAGAATTTAAATTCTTGAATAACAAATAATCTGAAATAATATAATTATAATAGATTTATGGATCGTTTCTAAAAGACATATATTATTTCAAAGTTAAAAATATCATTTTTATGAAAATTATAAAAACTCACAACATTTAAAACTGTACATAGTTTTCATGATATCATTAGCTTCAATATATTTATTGCAATTAATAAAATAAAAATAAACCAATAAATGAAATAGAAAAGGAAAAATATACATTCGATCATCATTATTATTCATGCCAAAGAATCAACATCACATTTGTAAAGAGAAATATATAAACAACTCAAGATTGAAGAGCATAAAAATGAATCAAGAAACACTAGACATTTGCTTTGTTATATTTTTTTCCTTAATCTTATCTTATAATGATTATTTGATCATCCATGATAGAATAGATTCAGACGAATTAAAAACATTTTAATCATATTAATATGTGAAGCAACCAAATTTAAATGCAGAAATATTTTTTAAAACTAAATAAATTACAAGAATGATTTCAATCGAGACTGAAATGCAATGTTTATCCAAAAGATATAAATTTATTTACCTAAATGGTGTTGGCTACAAACTTGAGATTAAGAGAAGCACATAAATATGAATTTATGAAATATTATCACATAATTGAACTTGAAAATCATGACAATCATCACAGAAAGTTGTGAGCAATACTAGCCAGTTTGCAAAATGCACAAATTTTAATTCACTTGAATTTACTGATAAAAATGAAATATAAATGTAACACGGTATAAGAATGAATTCTTCCTACTTGTATATGTAATAACCCACTAAAGGCTAAAACTGCAATATAGTGGTAGAAAGGTCGAACCCACAGGGACAGAGGAACACACAGGGTACAAAGTGTCACGTTTTAACAGACTATTGAGGAGTTTGAATTCTCAGGCAACTGTCACTCCCAGAAATACTGCAAGTGTCCACTCGGAGCGCACTCGGAGGTCGCACAGTGCAGCGTAAAACACACACACACACACCTGAAACTACAGAAACACAACCCAGAGATCCGTTAGGACCTCTACTTCAAGATTTCAGGGGGAAAGTCTCTCTCAAGCACACTCGGCAAAGCTGCGGGCAGTGACTTCCAACTCCGGCTTTTACAACGCTTCCACTAGCTTGCTGCTAGTGTAGGAAACCCGGTTTGGACTACCTACTTCGGATCGAAGTCACTCAGACGCGGTGAACAACACTCTCAACTCACAAAACGCGCAGAGAACACAGGTCCGCACTGAAGGACTCACTGAGAAACATTCCAGTAACACAACAACAGTCTATTGAAGAGTTTGAATTCTCAGGCACTTGTCATTCCCAGAAATACTACAGGGGTTACCCTCAAGGCACCTGCTGCAGCGTAACCTGAATTTACAACCAAGGCTTACACGAAGTAGCAAAACTTCACTTTGGCATTCAGGGGAAAAATCCCAAGGAGTACAATCAGAAAGAAACACTCGAAGGTGTAGGGGCGAAACTGTTCAAGTATCTAACTAGTCACTGGCTCTGAGCATCGGCAGTCACCCGCAGGTGCAGATCCGAACTACTCAAGTCTCTAACCAATGTACTAGCTCTGAACATTCGGCCGAAGGCCTTCAGCTACAAAATGCGGAACGCTAAGTCGTAACTCCTCGTGCGTGGTGACAGAACTCAAGGACACAAACACGCAAAGGAAATGGGTTCCTGATCTATACTTCTGATGGGAAAGAACCCCAGGCAAAACGCCTGGAACTATTTTATACCTTCTAAGTCCTACCAGCACTACACTGCACTACGCTACACGCCTGCACGGAACCACGCTACACTACACTCCGCGGAACCTGTACTACGTCTCCTGCGCGGCCGACTGCCGCGCACTAACTCCCTACCCTGCCAGTCGTCCGCTCGACTGCGCAGTCCCAACCTCTGCAACGCCCCTGACACCTCCCCCTCGAAGGCAGACATGGTATCCTGTGCCTTCGACAGAAAGGCATCGAGCTTCTTCGCTACCTTCCGCCGACTCCTACTGTCGCCTGACAACAACCCGGCTGCGCGCAATTCAAACTCACGCAGTGTGAGTTTCTCCTGCGCCTTCACTTCCCAGTGGGCGTAGCCCTTGAGACAGTGGGCGACTCGCCTCGCCGTCTCCACCTTCGTGCGATCCGCCTCCTTCCTGCGATCCTCTTCAATTATCACTAATTGCGATTCGGCTTCAGCACGTTGCGCTCTCAATTCGCCACACTCTGACTGTAACCTGCGGATTAACTCTTCATCCGCCTGCCGTGCGAGCTGACATTGTTCCAACAACCGCGTCTGTCGCACGAGCTCCTCTGACAAAATCCGATTCTGGGCCTGCTCAGAATCGAGTGCTTCCTTGACCTTCACCTGCTCCTTGGTGAGCTCGCCCAGTTTCTCATCCTTCATCTTCTCGGAGTGCTTGTAGAATTTCTGATTAAGCTTGTACTGGCCCCACAAGCACGCATGCTTCTCCTTCAAGTCCTTCAACTCCTGGTCCACTCTAGCTAATAGCTTGCTGGTGTGGACTTTAGTGCGAGTCCGCCTGCGCACTAACTCGATGTAAGATCCCGGCTGGAGTGGGTCGGCGTATTTATCGACCTTGCGATCCAAGTACCGCAGCAACGGAATCACCTGCTCAGAGAGCGCCGCCGCCGGCGCTCCAACAATTTCCTCCTCCTCCTCCTCGGTGTCTTCTGCTCCTGACATTTCTTCCGTGGAGCCTCCGTCGTCATCATCCGAGTGGAGAATTTCAGTCGCCATTGATTGCGTCGGCGACTGCCCCGAGTGGGGCTGCACGTCGTCGACGTGTGCTGCCTGCGAAGGCACGGCTGCAGCCTCGCTGCTCGTCGCCAAAATGTCTAAGGCGGAAGGCGAATGTACCCGTGCGGCATCCCCGTCTCTCGCTTGTTGATGGTCTACCGCATCCTCCCTGTCGCCGTCGTCCGTCGCCGAAGGCGATCGAGCGGAGGGTGGCTGCGCGGGGTTTGATTGCGCATCGCGCATCGAGATTTCATCCCGCGGACAGTCACTCCGCTCCTCCGTCTGCTGCTCCCTTGATCGGTCCGTGGGGGCTGTGCCCGGCCCGTGCGCAGGCGCATTTGCCGGCGCCTTGTCCGTCGCAGGCGTAGCGCCGCGGACATCTATCGCCGAAGGCGACATGGCCGGGGGCCGCACGCCCGATGTTGCTTGGCCTATAGGCCCTACCGCCGAAGGCGCATCTATCGGCGGACTTCCCGCCGATGGTGCGGCCTCCGCACGCTCTCTGCTCGTATCTCCTCGGCTCGAAGGCCCTGGCGCCGAAGGCGCGAATTGCGGCGCGTGGTGCGCCGGAGGGTCTGGCCCCGAGGGCCGGTGACTCGTAGGCGGTTCTTCCGCCGGCTCCTTCCCCTTCCTACGTTGGAACGGGGGTGATTCTTGCCTGTGCACAGGCGGCACGTGTGGAGGTGTCCTGTGCACAGGCGACCTGTGCACAGGTGAGCGCCTGTGCACAGGCGGACTGCTCCTTCCCACGCGTAAGCGTAGATCCACGTCCACTTGTGTTCGCCGGTCCGCGGAGGCTCGTCCGTCCGCGGAGGTTCGCCTGTGCGCAAACGGAACATCTGTCCGCATCGCACGTGGTAACTCCGGAGGCCCTTGGCCCGTAGGCGGCCTTTCTCCCGTCGAGGTTGCAGCGTGGCCCGTTGCTCCTGCGGTCGTCCGCGCTTCCTCTCGCCTCTCTGGCGACGCACTTTCTATCTCCGTCGCAATTGTCGCCGTGTCCGCACTGTCAGCTGGTAACACCAGTCTGCGTGCCTTCTGCTTCGGCCGGCTGTATGGCTCGCACAGCGGCCGCGGTCGAATGGGAGCAGAGGGTTCTTGATGCTGCTCCTCTTCGGACTCTTCCCTCCATCGCCGCTTCCGCGGCACTCGCGCTGCAGGGGTGTGTCTCCCTTCGTCCCTCCGTCTTGATGGGGTAGAAGTCGGTGACTCCTCTGCATCAGTATCGACCTCGTTCTCCCGCACATACTTCCCGGGATGGTCGATGGACAATGGCGGAAAATGTTCAAGCTCCGCCGCTGTCAAACAATTCCGCTGTCGATAAAAATTGATGAGGAAAGGAGAAAGATGGTTTAGAGTTCCCCCCTTCTC